GAGAGAGAGAGAGAGAGAGAGAGAGAGAGAGAGAGAGAGGAGGGATGTAAACACTGTAAACCTTAAGTGTTAAGACAGTTGGCCCTTCCTAATTGCAAGACTGGTTGCAAGATTGCATGGGTTCTGGGCAAAGTGTTCTCTAGTGGGCCTCATCCTCTGTGTGCCCTGGCAGGCTTACCTGGCTATGATGGCCCCACTCTAGGTGGCAAAGTTTAGCCATGCATCTTGATTTCCCACACTGCCCCCAAACCTAAATCTAGTTGTCTGTTTCAACTCCAAAGTGTCAGTCCAGGGGAGCTGGGGGAAATTATGGGCTTCTAGAGCAGATATCAGGTGAAGGACCTACCAGAGCAATGAAACCTTGACAGCTGCCCAAGGATTGCCAGGAAATTGATCTTTGTACTCGAGTGGCTGCCACAAACTGGACTCTTTTTTCTCCCTCATATGGCTTGTGCTGGAATTGAAAGGCAGTTTCTTTGGGTCGTTCATGGAAGGCCTCTGCTTGCTTTTCCTGCTTTACCACTTCTGGGGATTATAATGAAATATATGTATGTTTCTGCAGCTTTATTTTTTTAACTGTAAAGTGAGAAAACTTACCCCCCTTTTTTTGGATGGGAGGTAGTTCTGTATTTTGTCTTAAAGACAAAAGATGTATTAACACAGCTCACATTTGATAAGAGGATATATACACTCTAGGTTCTTGAAGTACCCCAATCCTGCTTTCATGGACAGTAACTGTACTAATGTCTGATATTTTTATTAACATTAGAATAAAACAAACTGGCACATCTTAAACAGTGCAACCCCAACTGACAATGTTGAGCTGCTTTTCAAAGGTCTGCTGAAAAATGAAGCCATTCCTGAAGTTGGAGAAGATGCTGCTGCTTCAGTTAATGTTACAGAAGCCCTGTCTGAAGAAGAACAGGCTGAACTTAGAAGAGAGCTTGCTAAGGTAAACTTTAAGGTGAAATGAAATCTGTATTCTGTGCGGTCCACAAAACTAAAGTGCCATGCAAAACAGAGGATTTAAAGGTACAGTTTTCCTGAAGTTCCTTTTAAGTGTCATGAAATAAGCCCAGAGAATGGCTCACACTAGACTACCTGCTCTGCATGCAGAAGGTCCTGAGTTTCATCCCAGATAGGGCTAGAAAGATTCCTTGCTGAAACCTTGGAGAGCTGCCCTCAATTAGTGTGGACAATACTGGGCAAAAGAGACCCATGGTATGCCACTAGGCAGCTATGAAATGACAGCAAGCGTATTAGTGTTTTTCCAAAAGAGGAAATGTTAATGGAGTTCTGGTAGCCCCCCAGTTATGGAAGTCTCCCTGTTGAGGCTTGCCTAGTGCCAGCTGCTGTCTTTTTGGTACCAAGTTAAGGGTGACTTCTATGCTGAGGCATTTGACAATTTTAAATAGTACCTGGGGGTATGTCAGCTGCTCTCTGGTGAACTGTTATATTTTACTGTCATTTATATTTTATATCATTTTATTAGTATACACTGATTGTAAACAGTTGTTCTGTTGTAGGTAGAAGAAGAAATCCAGACTTTGTCACAGGTGCTAGCTGCTAAAGAAAAGCACCTTGCAGACATAAAGAGGAAGCTGGGAATCAGTTCATTACAGGAGCTGAGGCAGAACATTTCCAAAGGCTGGCAAGATGTTACATCTACAAATGCGTATGTTTCTCTGTCATTGCCTGAAGATGAAGAGGTGGACAGTCAGCTGAGTTTCATGGATATTGTTTAGGGAAGCTTATATTTGGAGGTTCAGTGGGAGCAGGATGTAGTCCAAAATGTGCAAAGAGTAGGCCAAAACTCTTTGCACAAGAAGCTGAGCATTTCTCTGAAATGCTAGCTTTTCTATAGGCAGGTAGTCCTTTCCATGAGAGAAAGCATTTAGACAAGTAACCATGTTGCCCATTCAGACAGCCTGAAATAATGTATCTGGGAATGTTTTGTTGCATGTTCTATTAATCTGATCAGTTGGCTTGTAAAATCTTGACAAGATTACTGGTCAGTGCAGAAGAGTAGTTGCTTGGCATTCCTTTAACTCAAAGATAGGGAATGTATGGCCCTCTGTGTGTTGTTGGACTGCAAGTCTCACCAGCCCTGTCCTGTAAAGCCAGTGGTGTGGGGTGATACAATCCCCTGTCCTGGTCCACATGGTTCCTACCTTAATGCAGACATGTAGCCTAGCAGTTTGTCCCCATCTTCAGGGAGGCTACAGCTGCTGAAAATGCCTAATGTGACAATAGGTTTTGAAAAGGTAGAGTCAAAATGCCATTTTGGCACCATTTCTTAAGAGTAAAGTACCTGAAATCATCCTGCTTTTTTGACAATCTATGGGCAGGCTCTATTTACCTAGAACTATTTCTTGATAAGTCAAATGGGAAAATGTGGCAACCTGCCGATTACCATGTATGTAATTGCTTGGCAAGCCTACTTTTTTTAAAGTTGCAATTTCAAATGCTATGACTTGTATTGGTCATGGTTTCTACTTTTTATAAAACCTACCTAGTAATTTTGTAACAGATCAGATTACAATTCCTTTTTGTAATTCTTCTTGATGGAAAGAAAGCAGGATATAAAATCTAATATACCAGATGAAGCTGAGCTGAAGCTTAGTTAAGTGGAAATGCTGGTGAGTAAGGAGGCTGTTTCAAGGTGTTCAGTTTGGAATTAGTTGCTTTTTAATTCGAGGTACAGTAGAAGTGAAACAATAGGCATATCTGCTCTTGTAACACTTGAGGTTCAGCAACATGGATACAGAAATTGTAATAATAGAATTTTTATATATATAGGTATAAGAAGACGTCAGAAACATTGTCTCAGGCTGGACAGAAAGCTTCTGCTGCTTTCTTAACAGTTGGCTCTGCAATAACAAAGAAGCTGGAAGATGTGAAGTATGACTTTAACTTCTATCAATTTACACTGTGTTGGAGTTTAACTATGCCAGACTTGCATCTTGATTTTATTCAGCTTTCCCAAGACGTGTTGGATGGCAGCTCCCATAATTCCCAGCGAGCATGGTTGCAGTCCAATGCATTTGAAGGGCACCTGGTTGGCAAAGGCTGATTTTATGAATTGGCTACTTGCTTTGATGCATTTGAGCAAAGAACTACCACCTCTGCTCCACCCCCAGGTGTTAGCCATTGACATCATTGACATGTAAAATACATGTAAAGGGCAATAAATGGCCATGCAAATTTTACCTTTACTATAAGAAAATAGTGCAATATTTTAGCTCGCAGAATACATATAAGATAATATGGTCTTCTGCAAATAGCTTGGCATTTGTGTGTTTGAGGCAAGGGGCATGCCATTTACTCTGTTCGCCTAGATTCATTGTTTAGACTAGGAGACTAAATGGTGAAAATTTCAAGGTGCCTCAAATATTATGCATGTTCTCATTCAGCACACCTAAAGAGTTTAAGGTGCCTGGAACAAAAAAGAGATATGGGCCCTCTTTCCTGGGTATTAGAAAAATATAACTGTCTTCTGTTATTCTCTAATGATACTGCATAGTCTTATCGTCTATCCTGGTGCACAGTTGACTCCCTTGAGATCTTCATAATTTAGATGTGCACTGCTTGATGTAATCATGTTTGAGAGTGGGCAGGAGGGAATACTGGGGCTGGAAACAGCAGTCTTAATGTGCATGAGCTCTTTGCCTCTGCTGCTTGCTCATCAAGAAAAAAGGAAGTGAAAGCCAGCATCTAGGACCCGAACCATTTAGGACTCTATAGGTTATTACCAGCTCCTTAAATTGGGCCTGGACTGCAATTGGCAGCTAGTGTAGACAGTATCGGACTGTCGTGATATGGGAGTATTTGCCAGTCCCCGTTAATAACTTGGCAGCTCAGTTCTGGACCAGTTGAAGTATCCGGACTGTCTTCAAGGGCAGCCCCACGTAGAGTGCGTTGCAATAGTCCAAACAGGAAGTTACCAGAGCATGGGTCACCATGGCCAGGCACTGCTCATCCAAGTAAGGGCACAGCTGATGTATCAGCTGAAGGTGAAGGAAATTAGTATTATTCATAAACCAGGCTAATGTATAGAAAACAGGCTTTAACAGTGTTTTGATAGGTTATTGTACCATGGACAGTTTCATATGAAGAATTTACACGGACTGTCAGTGGGAACTTGTGGGGCTTCAGTGATGCCCCTGCACCCATCAAAGGCAAACTTGCATGCATGTAACTGCACAATATTCTCTTAGAACTCCTGAATACCAGAGCTAGATTTCATGGCTGAAAATCAACCCTTCATCTGTATTGCTGCAATTTCATTTTAAGTAAAGTGTAGATAACTATATAGAAGCTCATGACTCTTATTCTGGAAAATCCCTGTTTGTTTATATTGTAATTTTCTTTTTATTTTAAATGCTTGCATGGTATTCTACAGAGTGCAGGCATTTACACATTCCCTTAGGTAAGATTTAACTGTTGGTGTAGAACATGTCAGTGGACTTTCTCTCATAGCTTATAGATTCTGACAGACCATAATATGCAGTTCTCTTGTAGATTACAACTTGGAGTGTATGCTTTGTGTAATTCTAAATGGTTCAAACAAACTTCAATTATTGTTTTAGGAAACAGGAATGTTAGAAAGATACACTAAAAATATTACATAGTGCTGAATATAGCATGAGGAAAAGGTTTTTGTAAATTCCACCAATGTATAGCATATTCACTAGTAATTTGTCAGAGCAGTGAGTGGCTTTTCTCTATCTCCAACAGTGATAATTAAGTATTGTGGCTGAGGTTTGACAATTGTACGTAAACATCAAGACAAAACAACTAATACTTGTATAATTTAGCCAACCATCCAGGGTTTTTTTTTTTTTTTTTGGTGTAGTTGAGACTAAATATCTTGAGGTAATGAGATAGGCTATAGTAATTAGCTAAATCTTTAACAAGGGTCCCTCTGGATTGAATATTTGACAGAGCAATTCTATGGGTCTTAGGGACCACAGAAATACTCAATACTTTTCAAACCCTGGCAGAGCTCTGATTTAGAAGTAGAATCAGAGCTCCAACTTCCCTCACAACTAATGCAGAAAGAACATTGTCAATGGCCCTTCGGGGTCAGAAAACTGACCTGGTGTAGGGGGAAGGTGGTGTGTGAGAAAGAAACTGTAGCAACAAGGATTTGAGTTATCCTGAATTGCTTCTGAGCTTCTTTTCCTCTTCATCTCCTTGACTAAAAGCGAGTCTGGTGAAAATCAGGAAAGTTGGGATATGGTGAGAAGGCTGCCTCTGTCACTTTTCCTGACCTACCAGCTTTGGTGTAGCAGGACAAGAATCTTGGAGGCCTCTAAGTTCAAAGGCTCCTAAACAGCAGTCTTATAATTTGCACCTAAACTGAATTAAGAGACTCTCTCTAGGGAATTTTGCCGATAAATAGGGTTGCAAGGGACCACCAGTCAGTGTAGGAAATCCAGTATTGCAGCATTCTCAGTGAGTCTAGGCTGCTAAATTCTAATGAGGGAAATTCAACAATCTTCTGAAGTAGTTGAGCAAAATGAAACAAATTTTATTGTAAAGTTTATTCTTGTAATTTGAGCCTAATGGTTTGGGTTCTATCCACTGGAGCATGGAAAACATTTGTTCCACTTGCATGGTAGATTTTCAAATACAGCAGGATCCCTGTATCTACCATCTCAGTTCCTGCAGTTTCACTTAACTAAGGTTGACTGTTGACCTTCCATATTTCAGGGGGTTAGGGATGCAGGACCCCCATGAAAATGGAAATATCTCTAAGGAACTATACACTCTATTTGGGGACACCATGCCTTGTCTAGGTATTAGCCAGCCTCACTTATGGATTTTGTCTCTCAGTGGGCATGAAGACTACAGAGATATTTATGGCTTTTCCACATTTGCAGGGGTCCTGAGCCTCTAACCCTCATGGATGTAGTGTTCACTATTATCTGTGGTTTCAGACATCCCCTGGGGGGCTTGGAACCTATCCCCCACAGAAAAGGGGGTTCTGTTGTACTTGAAAACTTAGTATGTGTTTATAGCCTATCCTTCCTTGCAAGGAGTCCATGGCTACCATTATTTCCTACTGGTTCCTCCAGACACCTAATTTCTTTAAGGTTTCTTCATCAGATTTGGTCTTCAGTCCTCTCACCGTTTTTGTTCAACTCTGGACCCTATCCATTTTGTCAAAATCCTACTTTATATTGGCTCTGTAGTATTGCTAGCAGGGTTGAAACAGATACAGTACATGGACTCTAGCAAAAGCTACTGTGGAATTTTAACACACTATTGCTTTTCTGAACAGAGTTTCAGAACAGAAGTAAGATAATCATCTTGCAACAAATTTCCTTATTAATAGTTTTATACTATAACATTTTCTTTCCTCCATATTCCTTCTTAGGTGTGAATGAATGTTTTAGTCCTGCATGGGAAAATGAAAGGAACAAATGCATGCTTCCAGTGGGACATCTGAAGAGGAAAAACTCACCTCTCCCATAGAGAGATATTTGGGGATCAGATTTGGAGAGATGCGAGGCACTCTTTTCTTGGATGTGACACTGGAAGCATAAAAAAGAAACTTTGGCTGCATTTCCATGTTGATAAAAATGATGACATAGCATAATGGGAACAAGCCACAGGCTTATATGCTTTCTTTTTTCTCCCCAGCTGGTAGAAGGAGCTCAGATGCTTGCTTTTGCTTAACTGCTTTGTCTGGCATGGCAAACTGAAAATGTGTACTGACTGATTAACTTTCTTATTTTATTAAATGGATATTCTGCCTTTCTACCAAAGTGGTTCTCACAATAGTTTGAAATATTTCTTAACCTGACTTGTTAACCTTAAAACACAGGTAGAGTGGTAAGGTTCAGTGCAAATAAGGTCAGTCTCTTCTGCACCATATGTAAATTTTTTCACCACAAAAATATGAAACAGTGCAGTATGAAGAGAGAGAACACTAACCTTGCTTGAGGTGGCTTCTGGCATGGAGGACAGGGAGGTGGGTAGGGAGGAGGTTATAGTTTGGAGGGAGAGTCTGCAACTGCAATCTTGACTAGAGGAAGCCACGACCGCATGTCAGAACGGGGAAGATGGCTGCGTTCATGTTCATGCAAACACGATCGCAGCCATCTTCCCCACATGAACATGCTCTGACATGTGGTCACGGTGCAGGGAAGATGGCCACAATTGTGTTTGTTACTCAATGTGGAGTTTGCAAACAGAAGCAAAATTTTGCCAAACTTTCTGTTTGCAAACCAAATTGTTCACAAACAGAAGCGTTCGTGAACTGAGGTATTACTGTAATGGTAAACCAGTTTTTATTTTGAATGACACCAGATGTTGTGATTAAGCATAAGTGGAAGGAAAAGCATCTAAATCCCTCATCAGCCATATGGAATAGGGCTGAGAAATAGTGCAAACCTTAGGTCTACTGTGAATTGTGCACAACTGCCATGGTTTAATATAAAGTGAACATAGCCATTGGTGTCTATTGTATTTTCTTGGTTTTAATTTTCTGTAGTTAGGACCATGTGTCCCCTTTTACTTGGGTACTCTTGGCATTCCAAGCAGGTGTGTCCTTTGTCTGACTCCATGACAACTGTGCTTAGAAACCATTTCAAGGAGGGTAACATGCCTCTAAAATTCCTAGGAAAAACACAAATGTTGTGCAAATGTGACGTATTTGACATTCTTTTTAGTTCTGTTGCCAGTGCAATACTTTGAGACAAGTTAGATCTGTAGAAATATGGGTCAAAGGAATTCCAGAATAACAGCAGAACTGGGATAGTTACTTGATTGCCTTAGGACTGCTTGCTAACCTATGAACAAAAGAGATAGAAAGCTGTAAGGAAGAAAATGAAAAGGTTTTATGCATGAGAAGAGAAAGTAAATAGATGTTGAAGAGATAATAAAAGGAGGAAACAGTGTGGTGAGGAACACATGTGTGCAAGTACATCTTATGGATGTGTGTGTGTGTGAGAGAGAGAGAATATCTGGACATTAATATTCCATTCTGCAAAGCACAAAGTAGGATTCCAGACTGATGATCAATTAACACATTTTTGAATGTTTTGGTAGGACTTAAAATATGTGGACATGCAAAATAAGAGCGAATGACTTAAACCTTCAACACAGGAGAAACCTATCAAATAGATGTTATTTACCAATTGTTGGAATATATAATGTTTTTGGAAGTCGAAGCTGAATTGGTCTCAGCTGAACTACTTGCAAAAATGATTTATCTGGAAGAGAATTCCCTTCCAAATAAAGTACTTGTAACTATTCTGTTGCTGAAGGAGCAATGATTAATATCTTTGAAAGCTAGTGTAATACAGTTTGACTTTAAGTTCTTGCTGTCGCATGGACATATTTTCAGATTTGATAATAAAAATAGCAACTGTGTGGTTTACTCCACAGGACAGTTGTTGAAAACATAAAAGATAGTGGAATGCTTATATAAAAGAGGAGCAGCACTTCTGGGAGCAAGCTAATTGGAGCCAACCTGAAAACAGTTCGAGATTGGCTAATATACATTGCCCATGTATTCCATTTGGTGAAAATTTGAATGTATTTAGCCTCATATAAATAATACAACACCATTGACACATTTGATTATATCTGATCAGTTATTCTAGAATGCAAACTGCAGATGGTGTTCTGAAAGTAGCATGATGCGTTAAATGTTTCTTCTCTCCTTTTTGTTGTGCATGTTGATAAATATGCATGCCTTTCTTGAGTGCACTGGAAAAAGTGTTGGTCTGTTGCTGCGTGGAATTGGCAGGGACAGACATACCAGTCTTGTATAATCTGATTGATTTTCCTTTCCTTTAATGCTGCCATTTAGTATACGTTGTCTACAGCATTCAATTAGCATGCCTGCTATGAGGTAATGTATAGTTTCCTAGTATTCTGCAAATGTGGCCTTGATTAGTGGAACTGATACCAGGGTTAGAATGGAAAAGAGTATATTAGACTTTACAGAATTGTGGTCCAAACAGTTTGTAATCAGAACAGGACCATATCCAGAATATGCTATTATTGTTCAAGTGGTATTTTGCGGGGAAAAATGTGTTTGTAGGTACTGCTCTGTTTTTACTTGAGAATAAGTTTCATTTGAATCTGGAATTTCTGAGTAAGTATATGTAGCATGAGGCTGAAAAACTGAATGACTTTCCAGTAGTTTTATATAGATGCAGTGCTATTTATATTCTGAATATTTTATGTGGTTCTAAAGAACAAGGGTAGGCAATCTAGTACCCTCTGGATGTTGTGAGCTACTGCACTTACAAGCCCCAGTGTACATAGTCAGGAGTTGGGAGTTTATGGGTGCTGTAGTTTAAAAAAAAATGGATCATAGCGGGTTGTCTTGATTAAAGCATTACAGGTCACATTTAAAATATACTTCTTTGCTGTATGTGGGATCTTTTTAAAAATTTGTCTCTCTGCATATATACTTCTAATTTGAATGTTTGTCTTTCTCCACTAGAAATTCGCCAACATTCAAGTCATTTGAAGAAAAAGTGGAAAACCTAAAGGTAAACTTAACTGTAAAGCTCATTCCTAAAATTGAAGGAACTTAGCTGACATTGTCCGAGATAGTGGGACTAGGTTTTAGTTTTCATGGAGCTATGGAAAATATTTCAATTCCTGTGGTATGCACTGGCAGAACTGGCAGCTTTTGTGTACATTGTTGAGTTCATCACATACATGAATGGAAAGTTTTCATAAAGATTATGCTATATTACCTGGATTAGCTTTCAAAAAAAGTGTACAAGACTTTTCATACCTATGCTGTAACTCTGACAATTATCACACATTTTGAAACATTTTACCCTTTTCTAGTAATGTGGACAAAATTTAAACAGAACTGAGATTCTCACAAAATCAAATTTGTGCGTTGGTTCACATGAAATTAGTACTTAGGACATGCTGCATAAATGGTGATCTAGATAAATTTTGAACACCCACGATATTATGGCTATTCTAAATCTTTCCAAAGGCGTCCTCACTACATACAAAATAAGTACGGCTGAATAGTATCTAAATTATAGGCTAGTAGGGACAGGTTGCACTACCCAAAATGTGGGGAGTTGGCTTACCTGTGGTCGTTTCTGCATACATCTCAGTGCAGATTGCTGTACTCTTGTAGTCCATTAAGGCACTAACATGGTACATTCTAACATGTCAGTTGTGGCCTCAAATGCTGCAGCTTCCAATTTCTTTTCCATTACTTAGGTACCATAATACAGAGTATCCTTTGCTATGGCCTGGGGTAATCTTAATCTATTTTCTAAAGTTATTGAACATAAATTTTATTTCAATTTATCAAGCTGCCTTCCAAATGGTTCAGCCTTACATACTGCAAAATCTCCTATTATTGAATGATGACCTCAACAGGAAAGCTTTACAGCTCTTCCAGGAAGCATTTAGGCTTGTAGTGTACACCTTGGAAGAAGTTTAGTGAATGGATAATACAAGAACATACCAAAAATGTTAGTATGTAATAGCAACTTAGTTTATCCATGTTTTGATAAACTGTGGGTTACTGTGACTTAAACAGAAATGAGCGTGCTAGTTTTCACCTCCTGATCGGTCCTGAGCAGGGATAAACAACCAAATGTTCTATTCCTGGTTTGTTTATTGTGATGTCTGAACCTAGATTTGTTGCAGAATCATAGAATAATAGAGTTGGAAGGGGCCAGAGGCCATTGGGTCCTACCCCAGTTAAACCATTTCTCTCAGATGGCTGTCTAGTTGCAGTTGGTGGAGGGGAAGAATCCTGTCTTATAACCTAAGAACAAACCAAGTGTTTACAAGTTTGGATTGTTCCTACCCCAACATCTCACCATTTGGGTTCAGACATCACGATAAACAAGCCCAGAAACAAAGCATTCCCTGGGTTGTGTAGCTCAGTGGGAGTGGGTGGGTGCCCAGGAGCCAGCAGGCTTACGACAATCCAGATTAGTCCTTGGATGAGAATGATGTGTGACACAGTCCATAGATTGCTAAGCCATATTTGAAATTTAATATTTAAGAGGTTAATGCAATGTTTCTAATATCTCTTCAGTATAAGGTTGGGGGAAACAAACCTGCAGGGGGTGACTTTGGAGAAGTCTTGAACTCAGCTGCCAACGCCAGTGCCACAGAAGCTACTACTAAGCAGATGGAAGAAGAGTCGCCATGATTGTCCTGCTCCCTTATGCTGTCTACTGCCAGATGCTGCAAACAAATGCTGAAGCACAACAACTCTGCTTTTGATTCTTCCAAGATGACCTTCTGTTCAGCACTTAGCTATTGAATATAAATTGTTTCTATAGGCTCAGAGTATTTTTGAAACAGTAAAAAACACTCTTGCCTATGTTATCTGTGAGGCTGGGATTTTTATGCATTTTGAGTATTTATAAGATTATTGCTGGTCTAAAGTAATCATTAAGGTATTGCATTACAAAAGTTTAAAACTGGGAGCTTCAACAATGCACATGTTGGATCCTATGATAATAAGCAGTTACCTCATCTTGTGTCCATTTTACTTATTTCATTGCCAAAACCTGAAAAGGTTTCATCTGATCATTAAATGAACACCCTTAATTGCTCTCTTTGCAAGAATTTCTACTGCCAGAATAACCACCTGTGGACACTGAAATAGGATGATATCAACCAATATTTGCCAATACTGCATTGAGGTTCCCATAAAAGATTTATTCTGACAGTAGCTTGACTGATCTAGCTAAGCAGAGATACAATTTCCCTTTTATATTACAAGCTGATCTGATTCATTTTTTTCTTATCTAAAATAGGCTCATAAGATACAAAGCAGATTTAACATAAAAGGTGAAAGCGAACACAGCAAACAGTGGTTTAGAAGCACTGTGTTAATAAGAGTACAATATTGTTTATATTCCCCCTCCCCCACTGATTCAATGGAACTGTCATGGGCAGTGCCATTTCTACATCACACTGAAGCTCTTTAAAATCCCCCCCCCCCACAAATGGTTGAAGTGCATGGTACTAATAGTGCTCTTGCTTGTGTGTAGATCAGCAGACTTTTAAACATACTTCCAATCTAGGCAAGTGCATACTGGACTGTATGTAATATAGCACTAAGCTCTCTGTGTCACTTGGAATGTAAGGGGATAGGAGCCTTTTAAGCTGGTAGCCCCACACTGAAACCTGAAAATACACTTAAATGTTGTAAGTGTAAGTCAACTTTTTGTTTAAAGATGTTAACTAAAAATTATTGCTGATCCTGTAAAATACTTTTGCTCTAGAAACTACATGCACTCCACCTTTATATGCTATGTGCCAGCATTAGCCAACTTTCTGGTATGTTGCAGAATTATATTTAGCAGATGTTTTTGGCACTTTTAATCACCAAGCTTGAGATGAACTAGAACACATTATTAAAAGGTGCATTGTAACTTAGGCTTTCTCTTCATAGCTGCACCGGAATTGCCACAATTCGCATCTGTAAAGCAGCCTGTGCTGTGTTTGACAGTCTTTTGTAGCATTTCAGGCTTATCCCAATAGTTGATAACCTGTACAAATAAAAGATTTGCATCCTCAGATGTAAAGGCTAGTTGGGACTTGTATGTTTGAATGCTTTCAACAGTTTCAAGAGTGTTACACTTTTAAAGCCCCATGCTATGCATGCTTACATGGAAGTCCAATTATAAACAATCCAACTTAATATTAGATGGGCCTGTAGGTTTTACCTTTGCCTGCAACAAACAGTTCATCCTGTCCAGGTGGGTCTAACATCCTGATCCAGGATAATGTGCAGATATAGAGAGAACATCCTCACCTATAGATTCATAGACAGCCTAAATGTTCAGGAGGGGTTGAAAACAACCCTTTTTTGTACATTTTTAATTTGTACAAAAAGTGAATGGGGGCAGAGAAAATGTAGAAGCAGATACCCTCCTCCCCCAGGTTCACTGCCCTACCTATGTGTAGGTCTGCTTCGAAATAGTAATCATAGTGAACTGTCAGTCATCCCTCTGTCCAGTCTTTTTTATATTTCCTTTGTTAGCCAGGTAGGAGCTTTATGATCAAGCTAAACATAACTGGAGCAATCTCACTCCACTTTATTCTGTGTATACATACAGAAGATCTCATAGTTTACAAAAGAAATGAAAAAAGCTGTGGCTTTCATGAAGTTCTCAGAGGAAACCTGACTCACTGCAAATGCCTCCCTGCCCACCCCAGTATCAGCCATTGCTATAGCCACTACCACTGTATGTGGAAGGCATCCCTATATATCTTGTTTCCCTGCCAAACAGGGCTTCTCAGAGAGACTGTATCACTTTTTGGGTATTTTTAATTATTGGGTGGTACACGGGGTCTAGACATTTTCCTGATGGTGCTTTTGGATATAAGGAATTTAGCATTCCGCTAAATAGGTTAACCTTGGCATCACCACAAGGTGGAGGTAGTTGAACAAACAATTCTAAAGGACATTCACTTTTGTATTTGCAACAACAGGGGGCATTTGTTTTCTAAACCTCCACAGAGAGTACTTTCCTCATTCTGAAACCACTGACTCAGAATTGAATAGGGAAGAGAGTTTTCAAATGTGTTCCCCTCCGCCCAAGAGAGGTGAACCGTGTTAAACTGTTTTCATATGTCCGGTTATGCAGTATCACAGACTGAAATTCTGTACAGTTACCCAGGAGTAAGGCAAAATACACTCAAAGACAGACCTTTGAATAACATGCATAGGATGTGCAGTACATGTCATGAGTACAGATTAACTATACATTTTTACAGACATAGGAATAGAAGCCTGTGCTCAAGTTCTTGGGAATTAGCACCCCTGTTTGCACCTTGAACTTAGTTTGATTTAATAAAACATTTTCAATTGCCCTAGCAACAATATGGTATTGGTGAGGTGATTCAGAATCTCTACAATGTAGTACAAATACACTGCAGCTGCAAGTATCCTTTATCGTGTCTTCTAATTTTACCCTTACATAAAATTAACCAAGCCTAAACTGGTTATCTACTCTTTCCCATACATTGATGCCACTAATCTGATTTTTCTTTGCAATTCATTATGGTTAGCAGAAGTCCATAAATCCTGGGTTGCCCAAATAGGTATTTACCCTCCTTGCCTACTCCCAAGGCAGGAAAGTCTCCCACCTAAATCCCAAAGACCTACTGCCAGGAAGTTTTGACAAATACTGGGCCAGATAGACCAAAGGTCTTGACTCCATATCCTAACTTTCAGTATTCCTCTGACTTCAGGGGGGGACAGGGCGTTTAAGTCTCACTGGGTTTGGAGTACATGTAGTTCAAATCTTGTTCTGTTTGGCTGTTAAAATGCAACTTCACATAAGCAATGAGTTCACTGTGTGCAGGCTGAGTGGTGATCACCAGATGCTTGGGCAATTGGTCATGGCAACTGCTTTTGACAGGCTTCTACAAATAACTTGCCAGATCCTAAGTTACATAAGGCACAGGTGTAGCTCTATGTTTCAGCACAATGTCTTCATAAACAGCCAATCCTGTTCTCTCCAGATGGCTTGGACTGTCAACA